CGAAATGAAACTTGAAGACATTTCAACACCAAAATGAAGTGCCTGGCAATGCTTCAGAGTTGTGTTGCTGCACGACACAATAGGACGAAATGAGACTTTATTCACATCTGTTATAATATGTTGATCCTTACACCGTTGCCCCGGAAGAAATATATCTATAAATAGTATTACAGTGCGAGATAACTACCAATACATGACGGTCGCAGGAACCCACTCAAATTCATGTCGGTATTTTTCGAGAATACCCTTAAGTGATGGGTGCTGAAATTTAACCTCTTTGCATTTAGTGTGAAGAAAAGGTAGTGGCCTCGTTAGACACGTCACAAAATCCGAATGTTGGCATTGCTATATGACATAAATATATCCACATCATCACATTAGGGAAAAGTCGAATTATAAATGGCTGCGGCCTAAAAAAACCTTTGCAGTGAAAATTTGAATGACAGGAATTTACAGCTAAAAGGTGTAGTTTGAATGCTTCACTTATGGGATTTTGGAATATTCACTGAAGTCCTCCAAGTGCTTCTCCTTGACCATTTCATCCATACCACCCGATTTTTAAGTAATTTTGAAGATTCGCTTGTCACTGCTTAACCCAGATTGTTAGATTTAAGACAGGCGTCATTTTGAAAACCTTAGTGTTGTAGTGAATGGTGGTAGGTTGGGAAAATCACCTTGGTCGTCGTAGTCCAAAATAACTTGTCCTTATTCTTTCATGTCTACACACCTTATGGCACACTCCAGTGTACATCTCTCTTTTGATTTTCGTACTGGCCAATCTCCTGCTGGTATTAGTTCACACATGAGTCATACACATGCTAGGCACGACGACGAGACTCACAACGAAATCTGGTCCAGTCATTTAGTAGACGCTCTTCTTAGCGTATCGAGTAAGCACCTTGTGATCTGAAACCACATACAGGGGCCACAGCAGCCTCTTTACACACCGGGAGGCGCATCCCAGAAACTGTAGCGGCTTGGGATTTAGCACTACCTTACAACCCTCTAGTTAACAGCCCGTAACTGCCCGAGGAAAGGGAAAAGAGAGGAGGCGACAGAGAACACGACCGTTCATTAGTGTCGAACCCGCCAGGTGGCGTTGTGTGCGTATGAGTACGCGTAGCAGGCGAATGCTGTCAGGCCAATAACAAAAGGGGTGAGTCATTGGTCCACTCGGGCCCTCATGCACGCATTACTCACGCGATATGGTTCTCAGTCCACTACAAACTGGTCACTATTTACTACAATTAAGTGAGTGTTTTCGAGGGTAGTAAAACCCTTATACCAAATATTAATACAACATTGCCTTTTCCACTTGCATTTTACGCTATGGACAGGCCAGCCAAACTCTGTCACAATGCACGGAGCTTTGGTGCGACGTACTGAGCCCATGACAATCGAGGCATTATTTTATCAGTCAGAAGATTAGTTGTGGAAACAATTTCGCTCTGTTTTGTGTGCCACTTGGAGATTCAAGCAGTGTTGACATTTTAGTCGCCTCGGTACATTCTCTTAGAGGGTTTTGTGTCACATTGGAAGTGACCCCTACCTCCTTTCAATACACTTCACCGATGTCGCTTTAGAATCTAGATCTCTCTGTCTAATCACCAGCTCTGAGCATACTTGAATCCAGTTTTGTGATAGCCATTGACAATTTGGTCTTTTAACAAAATTTTTTAATAAATCTGTCTCTTTATTCCTCTGTCTCTCAACAATAAGCATGAAGGCTGCTGCTTCTCGCTTGTGCACACACAACCACGTAGCTTCGATACCCTGGTGCAATTCAAAGACTAAAGGGTCATTAAGGTGTGGGCCGTGAAACCGCTAATTCTATACTGGATCACTATCGTCTTCTTCGGCATGTTCGTCAACATCCACGATCGTGCTGATTTGTACTGGGCTTTGACAATGATTTTTGGCATCTTTTTGCACGAATACTCCTTCAAATAGAATCTATTTCGGAGGAGATGTTGCAACGTTAGAAGAACAAGCCTAATTAGACTAAAAATATAAATGGTAACCACGCTATGTCAAATGAATTTTTTGATGCACATCCGCTAAAATAAGTCATGACTACACTAAATCCATATTTGAGTTTGCACTCTATGTTACCAAACCAGGTACCTGGTAACTCCTGAATATTCAATGCGAAAAAATGTAGGGTGTATACTTGGAGGAAATTCTTGTCCCCTTAATTAGCAAGGTATTTTAAAATTTCATAATAATTGCCCCATCTTTATGAGGCAAGTGACTTGCCTGTCGAATCTCATTAAAATCTATGTCCATTTGCCTTAATCTTGCGTCAAATTGCCACAAGAGTACAAGCGTTTTTCTCTGCCAAGAATTCTGGTCCTTTGAGGAAAGAAGAGTCGTAATGAATTATGCTTAAAAACGTTCTGCCTTCTCTTTGTAAATGAATGCCAAATGACTGAATTTGACAGCTATATTCCTGTTTTGTCTGCTTTTTTGTGCTTGATATTTTAATTTCACTTTCAGATTATGTTGTACTTGCCTTCACTTGTGTTGGGGATCCACGATTTCCCAAGATTGATTTCTGATTCAATTTGCATTAATTTATTAACATTTGTTTTGCTACGCTTTTATCAAGTCAAGGTCAACCTTGACTTGAATTAGTTTTCAAATTACTTTCGATTTCACTTCTACTCCGCACGTAGCTGACGTTAATAAAGCTCTCTACACGAGCTCTGGTCTTGTTCTCGTATTAGCCTGGGAAGGTCGGTTTTAGCTTCAGCTAGGAATCTGGTACCGTTATTTGAGTGGTCTTCTCTTTTGTTACGGGCAAAACGTAACAACTTGACACCTAATCTGTCACTGATTACTTGCCACAACAATTCAATACAAATTCACTAGCCCGTCTAACTCTACGAGCCTCAAATTTAGCTCACGAATCTGTTGTAGTTGCCAGACTATTGCTTTAGTAATGTAAGGAAATCAGAGGCACAGCGCGGTAACATCTATCAGGTGCGAAAGAAGGCCGCCTAATGGTATGCACTTAAACGTTGTTGTCGGTAAGTTGCAAAGTCACTCAAATGGAGCAACTTAGAGTGAACTTTATGGAACAAAAACGACTTTTAGAGAATTATTTACGCAAAGGTTCTAGATTCTGGTTAAGAGCTTTCAATGATAATGTCCAGTGTGTTGTCAAAAACAATGACTATTGCCACTTTCTAGTTCTGTATTTGGGGTTTTCTTTCCAGACACGCCAGTAAATTTCGTGCCTGATGTGAGGTAAGTCGAAATTCTCAAAATCCCCACCTAGTGCTATTTCAGTGCTATGTTCCATGCAAGTCTAGCCAAAAATTCCACTTTCAAAGGACTAAATGCAGACTTCAAATGCTCCTTTGGATATGTTGGTTGCTACGACAAAAGTATACGCCCATTTAGCAAGTCCTCTGAACGCGTATCTACCAGTTGCTCACTTAGGGGCTGAAAACCAAACTTCTTTCGCGAGTTTTCAGCACCGATGAAGTTCACTAATGTCACGAGGTTAAAATTAACACCTTCTATTTCCATATCACGTTCCATAGCCTCGTGAATTCTCTGCAGGCTCAAAAGAATGCAAATAATCAACTCCATAATACTTTCTACACAGTCCAGTTTTCTGTGTGCTGCAAAATTGTTTGGCGATAATAAACGTAAGCTTGCTGACCACTTTAAATAAAATCTGCAAATTAGTTGCCGGTTTCCATTATGAAAGGAGCAGTGAATTTTTTATTACTTCCGTAGCCTATTTACTTTCTGTCTTACAAAGTAAAATTTTGACTGGCCTACAGATTACAAACCCTGCCGTTAACATGAATTAGAAACCTGCCGTTTAGTGAAGATGGCTGAAGTTCGGAATTCCAGGAACTGAATGAAAGTTTTAAATATACAGTTTCACGTAACTCCCATGAAACAGCAATTAGGGACCTCATAACGGGAAAATTTTAAATGGAATTGTTGAGAAGTGTTGCAGAGTTGATACTTTCCACTGTCATCCTAACAATAATGAAACTGATTAACATTGCAGAAAATGCCACCTTGGAGATGCCTGGTGCCTCCAGATAGAAAGTATTTTGAACTGAGTTTAATAGGTGTACTTCTCTATTCGGTCCAAACCCAATTTTCCAAACATGTAATTATCCAAATGACTTGTATTTCGGCAGTTGACCAAAGTAAAGTGCATCGTCGATTTTAGTTGTTATCTTTACTGATTGAGAGAACTGTTTTAGAGGATAAGAACGACGGTCTACTTTTGCCAGAAAGCAATTGCATGCAAACTACAAGTGCTCTAAGGCAATTGCAGTCTAGGTCGAAGGTTTGTTGGTGTATTACGATGTTGTCACCCGTTTAAGGCAATTTAAGGATCACCTTGGCCTCAGTTTTCATTATCGACTATGATTTAGTTAGTAATTAAGTTTATACCAAATGACTGCCTTACTTTCGCGCAGAAATTTAACGCAACTTTCGCAAAATCGGTCTCTGACGTAATTCCCATCGCCGTTTTTTTATATATGTAGCGTAACTTTAAAGCTACACTTTAGAGTTCTTACTAATTCAGAGAGATTAAATGTGCCTTGCAAGCCGAAATTTAAAATCGACAAATCTTATTTACGCAGCGTGTCCACGTGGAAATATAGGAGAGCATAGGGGGAACTGCAAAATTCAACGGAGAATCAAATACTTGGGTCACCCAATGTTTGACTGGAGCATTTACAGATTGGCAAATGGAAAATGCTTATAGCCTTGATGGGGGTTTGTTTACATCTGAAGGAAGTGGAAGAAGAAAGCTCAATTTGCAAAAGTTAGGCCGGTATGCGAGTACTGATAGTTTAAGGGGGTAAAGGCGAGAATCACACGTGGTACAGGCAAGACTAGAATGTGATTGTGAAATACGCTAGAAGATCTGAAAATGGAATTCTTCGTATTCCATGTAAGCTAGTATAATTCTGTTTTATCTACAAGGGGTAGAGTTGCCGGCGCGGAGGGTTGAGAGTTAATCAACTGCTCGTCATAGCCTCAATGTCTGAGAGGTCGGGGGAGGATATTTTGCGGGGAGAACGAATGGTCCAGGGATTAACATTAGTGTTGCCCCTTGCTGATCTTCCTTCTCCATAGAGAAAGTAGTCACAAGTGCACCCCTCGGCGTTCTTTTGACTGCTACGCCCGAAAGAACTCCTTCGACTGGAGGTTTTTTGTGCCGTGCGGTTGGAGGATCGGCTGGATCGCGAGGATTTCCGCCTTCTCCGACGGCTTCTATGGCTGCGTGGGCAGTTAGCTGGGCACTGGTGGCGATAGGACGCTTTTTGTTGAATATCGCGGTCTGCGTTAGAATAGTCGCTTGGAAAATCGTAGGTTCCGTCAACGGAGACGCTAGAAAATCCAGATGGATAATCATCTTCCAAATGCTGCGACCGTTGAGGACTCTTAGCTTCTCCGACATAAGGTAATGTCGGATACCACAGGGGTATAAAGCCACTGGAATCAGGGGCTCTAGGAATGTAAGCTGGCACCATCTGAACCAAATGGTCTGGTGCGCTAGAGGTGGAGTGGAACAACGGTGGTGGTATTTGTTTATCGGATTTTCTGGAATTTCTTTCACATCGCTTCTCAAGGTTGGCTGATGTCGAGGTGTTGCCTTGGGATTTGCGAGCCACAGTTGCAGACCGAAGGTCGTGAGTTGACTTGCTAAGTCCCCCACACAAAGGGCCTTCAGCCGATTCAAGCCAGGTAGACCGGGTGTGCCCAGACGTGGGTCTTGAAGTCGCCTCTCTACCGGTGTGTTGGTACTTCATACTGTTGTTGTTGTTAAGAGAATCTGGCTGGACGTCACGACGCCAGGCCAATTCCATCTCATCGGTTCCACTACCAAACGAGAAATCGCTCGTGGTGCGATCGGTGTTGTGACGAATATTTGCAACCGCAGTTTCTACAGGAACCTGCTGCACCAGCACGGGCACATCAAACATGTTTTTTCCACGTCCCTGTGATTGTTCATTGCAAAAAACGAATGGTGAAGGGGACACAAGGACTTGTGAATATGGGTAGGGAGACGAAACGGTTAGGGATCCGTGAGGCGATTTCATATCAGCAAAAAATGTCGCCGGATGACTGTTTCGAGACCTCTCAGCCACCTCGGCCTCAACGCTACGAAGAAATGTGACGAAAGTATTGAAAAGTTGCCAGTCTCCAAAACTCATCTGCAGCTCTGAACGAAGCTTAGTTAGGTCGCAGACAGACAACACCTGACCGGTTATGTTCTGTCGGCGAATTTGCATCTGGTAGGAGGAGCAGTTGGTGGGCGGGAGGTCAGATATCGCCGATAACAGCGAGCACACTTCTTCCACATTCATTTTGCTCAGTCCTTTCATTGGAATGTTGGTCTACAACGTCAAATCCATTAGCTGGCTGCAAAATGTTAAAATCAACTGCTGTGGTCATTTAAAAAATTGGTTTTTATGACAGTGACTTCCGCAACAACTTCGGCTTCATTTCTGCATCATTTATCCCGGAAAACGCTGGAAGTGAAAATGTATTTTTTATGACCAATCAAATCAAAATGGTTCACTAAACTACTCTAAATGAATCGTTGACGTCGAAACTCTCGTCCAAATAACTAAACTACGTATTATTTTGACAAAGACATTAACAACGTATCTTCTGCGCTATGATTAAAAAATACTTAAGCACAACTGCTGCTGAAATAAACAGGTTAATTGCATAGAACCAAATCAAGGAAGACAGCGAAGTCATTCGTTAAGCAGATTGAACCAAAGTTAACTATTCGCATAGCTAGGTAATTTTCAAATTGATGGATGAATAGAGGAGGATAGAACCCCATGAAACAGACAGTTTTCGCCTTAAAGAAAATAAAGAAACGCAACATGTTTGTGCAACCACATCCTTTACGCCCATTTGAGTTTAATTTTATTTAAGCAGGTAATTATTGGCTGGTCTGCTAAAGAGAGTTTCGGCTTTGTGGTTTTTTGTTTTTTTTATTTTCGAAGTAACAATTTATGTAACACGCCCAAAGTGTATTTAAAGGTGGTAAAGTGGTTGTGTTTATTTTTAATTTAATAACCAATGAAATCTCAAGGAGAATGGATTGTTCTAAAGCGACACATTTCAGTTGCCGTTAGGTTAAGCGCCAGAATTCTGGAAAAAATCAGAAATGATTTGGTTTGGTACTTAGGATTTCATCTCGAAACTAGACCATACATCCTAATTATGAATAATGATAACAATAGTAATAATAGTAATATAAAGATTGTAGTTAAATTGGTATTGTTGGGTCAGATATTATCAGTGAAATTTAAACAAACATTTTTCTGAACAAGAGCTTATTCGAGGTTTCGTAACGTGTTGCACATTACAGATTTGTCTACAAACTGAATGTCTCCAACCATTGCAATTCACGCCTTGTTTTTTGAACCTAAAATCAAGGTTTCTGTCAAAAAACATTATTTAAAATACACAAATTCAAATTAATGAAAATCACAAAGCATGTTCAGTACTTAATTTTTAGTCTTAATAACTTTCGTGGAGTGAAATAATGGCTGGTGACAGGCCAGTTTCTTGGAAGTAAATACCAATGAAGAGTGATTGGTAAAGCTTACTCTGAGTCGGATCGGACAAGGCGAAAAGAATGCGGGCACGTTCGAGGGATTGGCGTAGCACATGCCTTTTTCAACGGGCTCTGAGTCGAGTGAGACGTGTGGGGGCGAGCAGATTTCGCCTGAGGAATCGTTTTGTGTCTCCCCACCACCACCTCCACCTCCTCCTCCACTACCTGCCCCTCCCTTTCCTCTGTAGTCGGACTCCGGGACGTGTGGTACGCTGAATGACTGCGTGTCCACGGCCCTGGGCTCACGAATTACCCTGTTTGGGGTCAAAAGGGAGCGTTCGAGGTCGGATTCACGACATTCAAACCTCTGCTCCCCGAAGTAGCACTGTCGGATTTCTAGAAGTGCCAATAGCAAGTGCTGCCTTAAGATTGTTTTAGTTGAAAAAAAAGCCGAGGCCAGTTCAATGACATTTATTGCATGGCTAGGTAGTTAGCTGTTAATGAGCGCTTTTACTAGCATTTCCTAACATAGCGAAATTAACATTATTTCTATAAGTCACGCCATTAAGTTTCCGAACGCATGTTTGAGTATCATATTTTTCATCTCTGTTTCATCTGAATTCCGATAAAATTGCGTTGGCTTACCTGAACCTATGTAAAAATGCTTGGGTAACCTGATTTGTGTATAATTAGAAGTTGAGCAAACGTGAGACACGGAAAAATTACCCCGCCAAAATTAATTATTGCTTACAGTCATTGTTCAATTTATGTAGTTGATGTGCGTCATTTTAACTTTGCGGTACCAAAATTAGTAACGGAATGAGAATAAAAATTAGCAGAATGATCACCTGCACAAAGAATTTTAACTAAGGTTTAGACACACCGATGCTCTTCAGAGATGAGTGATTGGCCTTTGAGCACGACTTGAAGGAAGTTTAAGTGGCTTGCCTTTTAGCTAAATCAAGCAAATTTTGTTGAACGAATTAGTTAAGTTGTGTTTAAACTTTTAAAAACTGACTTACACGTCCAAGGAACTAATTTTGCCAACGTTTCTGATGCGGAGTAGATAGCTAAATTTGGTTTATTCGTTCAACTAAATAACGAGTTTTGGTTGTAGCCACAGGTTCAAATCTCGCTACAGATTCCCCTTAGACCAATTTATTGTCTGTTTTTATTGGGGTAACCACAAAACTCCATTTTAATTACTGGCGTCGTTATGCAATGGTAAATAACCTCATTGGACCGGTTGCTTTTGAGCAGGAAAATCTGACATGTTCATTCGATGCTAACCGAGTGAAGACACTTAATTGTTGTGAGACAAAACGTCGAACGAAATTGTTGCATTTCTACTATCTATTCGAATCAAATATCAATTTAAAATGAGGCAACGCATATGGAAATGACGCTAATGAAAATGCCTTACTGTAGTCAGCGCACTATTGGTCTTTCATAATGTTAACTGGGGGATAACAGATCACGAATCGAAACTAAAAAACACATCTTCTCTACAAAATCATCATCTTGGATTGAGAGATGAGTTCTTTGTCAGAAAAACATTTTGGCACAACTAGATGCTGCAAGAAATGATAAATTATTTGTTTTCTGTGTATCGTAATTACAACTCAGAAAGTAGAGCTTCATTTACATCAAATTACCTCTTCAAGTGCAATCCTAATGAAGAGCCGATTTTTGTCTTAACGTAAAGTTATTTATGTTCTAGAAATCCTAGGTGGCGTAAGTTTGATTCCACTGGGATTCTGGCTGAACTAGTGCTTTTTATAAGTAAAATGAATTTCCAACTATGCGATTTAGTACTTACAAATATAAATTATGAATGAAAGAACTGTCTAAAGCAAACACAAAAATAGCCAAATTTGATACTTCAAAATCAGAATTTGATATGCAATAACCAAGTTCAGCTTTGGATAATGATAATGTCGTGAATAGAGCTCGTTATGAGTTGGCCAAAGTTGCTCTACCGCTGAGGCTAATCCGACACAGGGTACCCCTTTTCGCAGCATGTCGCCAGCAGCGCTAATCCTCTTCTCCTCTCTCGTTAACACGACCATTTATCCTGGATTATCCTCACAACTAGATCTCGATGTCAGAGCATCTATGATTCACACATCTTAGGCACAAATACACACTCGCAGATGCCACCTACGACACAGCAACACCGACGTGGTTGAGTTCTGAAGTAAACGGTTGTGTCCACATTCTCTCCGGCCTTTTTTTTCATCCCGGACATCAGGGAAGAGTAATCGGGACGGGGTTAACTCAGTGGCCCCGGTGTGTTTCAAGACCACATGCTGGGGCCCACAACAGAGTAATCTGTTTGCTAAATTCTTGCAAATTTCACCTTTAAGGACCCCTTTCCAAATAGTTTGATTTACCTACAATCCAGCTTACATTCAAACCATTTTAGAATACTTATTCACGTTGGTGAATTTGAACACTGTTCCACATCATGCGCAGACGTATTCATTCTAATATTCAGTACCGAGTAAGCGTACTTTGCAACAAATTAGACATATTTGTCGCATTTTGAGATCGACAAATATAAGGAAAATACATTTTAAAGTGAGAAATTAATGCAATCGGCTGATTAGTGTAGTAAGAGCTTGCCTTTAATGCAAATCCTGACAAATGGACTGATAAAGAGACTGATTTCAACCAGGTGCCTGAGGTCGACAATTGAGTAGTAGCAGTCAAGTTGGTTTTGGATGAAGTGAAGCAATTTGGCTGGATCCCGATCGTCTCCCGAGAGAATTGAACCAACGGGTGGTAAAGCGGAAATTTCATCCATAGCCTGCACAGAAAAAAAGCAAAACAAATTAAGCCTTACACTCCGTTTAATCTCGGCCTTAAAGATTTCCCAACCTTTGGTTTCTGCGGACATGGTTTGTTATTGCATGTGACTGTCGCTTTGCCGTCGTTTGTCAATGACAATGTAAAAAATAGTAGTAGCATTCACCTTACATTTCTGGATCGTGAGTCCCTTTTACCAACACGGCTCATAAAATATGAATAGACCTATCACTCTATGAGGTACAGTAACTTCTTCATTGTCTAAGATCGGCTTAACGGATAATGGCTGCATTTATTTCCAAATAGTATTAAAATCGTAACTGAATGGGCTTTGTGGGATTATTTGCGTGTATTTGGATATCCACAAATACTCGGCATAACTGGGAAATAATTTCATCTCATTTCACAAATCTCTAAATCGCTAATGCCTTTTGACTAGCCTGTACCGACTCGAATTCGGTTTAAATGAAAATGGACCTGGGGAACACTGTGTGGACGTTAAAATATTATTATTGTTGCCGTGTAAGGTGCCGATTGCGTCATAAATCACCTCTGCTGAATAGATTTATAAATAAGTTGTCTTCTGCACGATCAACTATTACGTAGTGAAGATTTTCTATGTACTGAGGTTACGACCTCCCTGCAGGGTTTTACCAAAAAGTGGTCAAGTTTATCTTGTGGTTTTTGGAAATCTGATATGTGTTTTAAAATACGTGAGCTCATCCATGCAGTGTGGATCCAATCTAAAGCAAAAAGATGCTTTTTAGCAACAAGAATGGGGAACCGACAGAAGGTGAGTTGATTCTACCATACGAAAGTTGTAATTCATTGACCTGACCGCCCTTGACGGTAAAAGTTAACGAAGACACTGAATACAAGTTCCCAAAAACGAATAACGCACGCAATTTACTAAACTGATACGTTGAGATTGCTTCTGATCAGAAAACAGTGCTCAGTACGAGCGTATTTTTCGGTTGACACTAGCACTAGATTGGGTAGGTCCATCATGCATCAAAACTGGTCAAGAAAACACCAACTTTCTTGACAAATTACAGCACCGGACTCTTCAAAATGTCTAGGAACTGGGTCCGCACGAATGGCAAATAATTCACTTTATATAATGAATGCATAGTCACGAAGTGCTTCTTAAAGGAAATGAAACGGTTTCATCTACAATAAGTACTCTCTTGAAATGAAAAGTACGCTGTCTATGATAACATCAGCCGGAAACGATCGTGGTGATAGGAAAAATGATTCATTACTCACCCTAACTACAGGAATATTTCATGAAAGTGCAGGACATTGCAACAAATCAAAACAATAGCTTGTTCATATTTGTAAACTTCTGAGAATTTACTGCAACACACTGTGCCTTCAGAGTGCCTCGTTTTCGAAGTTCCAAAGTACTTTAAAAGGAACGAGGGAACCGTAAGCGACAGCTAGGTAGTGCTATGCGAAAGTATCGATGCATGGAGTTGGGCAGGGTTGATGGTGGACCATATCTGGCTGTAATTTGAATAAAGGAATGGCGCGTTGAGGCGCAATACCACCCAAATAGGGACACAGACCAGGGTGAGACGGCACGACCGTTTACCAGTTAGCTCGAAGCCATTGTGTGGTGTCGAGTGCATTAAGGTCAGTGCATGACTCAAATGTTTTTGTTGGCCGATACAGTTGAGTGAACGTGTAAGAATACAAACGTCTGAATGGCCAGACGGATAAGGCGGGTAGCGGTGGTACATGCGGAGAGGTGTGAGCAGGCCGCCTTTTGTGACAGACGGGTATGCCGTGAAAAGGGGGATGTGTGTGTGTGTGAGGATGCAGCGACCGTGATATTGGACGTGAATCAACACGATCCACCACTGCCAACTGACAAGACTTAGAGAAGTTCTGATACAAGGCCATCAGACAAAATAAACTATATTAAACCGATTAACGCCTAATCCTTGTTTCTTTTCAGTAGTAGCATTGTACTTTACAAAACTACCATTGAAACTATCTATAAGCCTTTAAAGACCTCAAATTTTCAATCTTAGGACGTATCACATCTTAATATCACAACAATTTGCTTTAATCAAAGCCCCATTATTAAGGCTTTTGAGTCTCAAACAATTGAAAAAACTGTCGTCAACTTCCCTTCGTCAGTTATTCAAAATAAAAAAAATCTTTCTTCGAACAATTGTTGGGAGATGCTCAACTAAAATCGAACATTATCAGTTCTAAAGTGGAATAAACACGTTTTCATTCCAATATTTGAAAAGTTCATTAGCAAATATGTTCTTTTGAAAACCCGCACCGCCGCTAAAATTAACCCACCGTTGAACATTTTAATCTGACATGAGTTGATGTATGAAAAAGTTTGCTCTGTAGTCTAACAGTGTTGGTCATTTTTGTATACACAATTGTAGAATTTGGATCTTTCTCAAAAAACTGACTGGAAAAAGCAATTTTTTTCCACTGTTGAATGAATTGTTACTTCTGGTGTGTGGTAAATAGATCGACAATCTGGGTTCTTGAGTGTTAGTTTTATGTTGTTATTATACTAAGCTCGTGATTAGGGTTTTTTCCAGTGGGCATAATTTACTGCATACAGTTGACATAGGGCCGCATTAGGTGTGAAAACGGCTCTTCACGCAAAATCCGGTGGCAAATACCATCAAATCAATTCACCTTAGCAACCAGACTCGGAAATCCTTGAACCTGGCGTTGGGCAGGAACTGGTGGGTTCGTCACCTCTTCCTCGTCTTCTAGCATCACAGTTAGCCACGCCATGTGGTATGGCCAGTGTTGAGTCATGTAAACCCAGTTTGTCAGTTGCTTGATTGACAGCGACATTGAGTTGAGTCGGATTAGACGACCTAGAAGGCAGGAATGCATTTCAGTTGTCGTTCTCATAGAACTCACGATGTCTGCGCACACAATGTGTTTTGAATTAACGGAAGGGGTTCCGCTGTAGGCATCATTTGAACACAATCGCTCTCCCGTAGACTGCTGTCTAGGTATCTATTTGTGCTCATCACGTTACTTCCCTCAGTCTTAATCTCTTTCAAAACACGTCATGCAAAACAATTGGAGGAGGAAGAGAAAGAAGAGAGAGATGTTGATCGACTGCTGCTAGATATCAAGGGCCTGCCTCGTTCGCACGCCACTGATGGTATCGCGTGTCCACACAACGACTTGGATCAGTGCGTGCGTGGCGATGACTATTATTCCGCTATGCTCACGTCGGTCAAGGGGTGAGGCCAGGGAAGCGAAAGGAGCGCCTCGACTGTTCGGCACAACTGGGTGGGCGACCATATGGCCGATATGCGGACTCACGATAAGAATCAGAATGCGGATATTCTCCCACACAGTTACTGCGTGTGTGAGTTGCAAGTGACTTCGTTTAACAAGAAATATCGCATTTTCTGCACAAAATTTAAGATTATCAGCATTTCCGTAATTAAGGTCAGTGGAACAGAGAATTAAGCTAACGGTTGGAACTTCAACTGCCTCGACTATCAACTTGAATGAATACAAAGTAAATGTTTCTTGTAAGCTTGCACTTCATCGGTTGAATCGAGTCTTAGGAAGTTTGTAAGTGTGGACTTGTTGCGATTTGAACATGCCAGGAGAGAACCCGACTTACCGAAAAACGTTGATTTCAGTGAACTTCAGCTATTTCTGACTTGACTTGAATTGATTCTCTGCTGCTTGCTACAATGTGTTAGGATGATTTCAGCTGATCTAGTAAATTTGGAGGACACGTGATAGATCCAGCCCAAGAAAATATTAGGGTCAAGACAAGTCGTCGGAAGCAGGGCATTAACTCCTTCATGTGATAGCGCTTAGGGTCTAATTTGTGAGTTTCGCGGCGGCATTATTTGTCATCGGGAACATCCAGTCATATAAATAGTCACAGCCAAATGCTGATTATCGCCTGATTTATGGCATTTTCAGATACTAGGCCCGACAGGACAAAAATTAAACATGATTCAGTCCGAAGGTTGACCGTTCAAGCACTAAAAAAATAAGGCAAGCTTATTTACTTGTGAAAGCTGTCACGGCCACGAGGGTTTTGATCACTGGCACATTTTGTTCGGCCATTTCTTCGTTGGCAAGGAAAATTTCGGCGATGCCCTTCGCGCCGGCTTTGGTTGCAGTCAGTCGTGAGATGTTCACGTTTTTTATCACCGAGGGTTGGCTAACGATGACAACACCGGGCGACTGGTTCTGAACACTCAGGCTAGTCGTGGACTGAGTCGCCTTCATCACAGACGCGTCACTCCAGACATCTTTTGAGGCAACGCCGAGCTCCTATTTGAAAATTTTAAGTATATTATTTGGCCAGTGCTATTAATACGCTGGACGGGAAAGACTACATCCGCATGTCATCAAACCAGTTAAACACACGTTTTTGTTAGTGAGTAAAGGCTAATCGCGTCAAAAAGTGCATTTTATCTTCGTCTGACAGAACGCCGCTTGAAGGAAACTTAACTAGTAGGCTCGAGTTTCATCCTCAGAGCGAGGTATAGCATTTTACTTAATTAAACAAAACACTTTATAAATAATTATAACAAAGATTTCTAGTTGTAAATTATTGCTTTTAGTTTCTGATTCCTGGAATGGTTTTGTGAAAACACCTATTTGTCTGTCAGTCAGTGAGTCGATTTGGTTTGAAGGCAAACTTGGGCTGCTGGAATTATTTAAAATTTTTTTGGGGTTATGCGTTTCCACCCTTATAGTCAAATTTCATCAGCACGAATGCTGCAACGTTTTCGTTAGCCACTCGCATTTCATTTGGAAATGAGTACAATGATTGTTATCAAGGTCGTTATTACTAAATTCAGGCATGCGTGTCTAGGCCAAGGGTTCCTAACACACGTGACGTCATCGGATAATACCTTAATTAGCAAATTCCAAACCAAACGACAAACAAACAACAAAACTGGAGTGATTTCAAGAAGCAATTACAAATTCTATGACTTCATTGATTTTACTGGCCGAAATTTCCTTTTGACAATATTCCATGATTGTATGAGTTGGTAATAGTAAGATACGCGTTTGTGTTTCCCATAACCAAAACTTCTACACTGTCACCCCATCTACCTGAGCTCACTATCTGTGATTCTGATTTGTGGAAAAAGTAGAAATTTGTGTCCATTCGACCTACTACCTCAGCAGACGTGTAGGCTTTGTTGATTTGGCCGGTGTTATTCCCAGTGGCGTGGTTTTGTCGAGCAGTCTCCTCACCAGCCTCGTCCGAGACGTCGCCTAGCAGCTGAGGTGTGACCGGCGTGTTTGGCGTGGAGCGCTGGAGAAGTGCCTGAAGGCTTCCAGCCCCAGGGAACCGTAGCAGTGAGAGGGAGTCATTCTCGACAATGCTGGAGTCCAGAAAGATGGGCAGGTGGACGCTGAATAGGATGAGGTGGTTACAGTCGGCGATGCTCTGGAGCAGATTGAGGGCCTCGTTGGGTTCATTTGGCCGGCTCTCTTGAAAAAAGACATTGGTTTGTGGAAGCGGTTTCTCCGGTCTCTCAAAGAATGACTGGAAATCAAAAAGTGCCAAATTTTCATTTTACCATTTGTAAAGTTGATTTCGCTTGCGTAAACGTTTTATGGCAATCCTATTCAGGCAACGTTGACGCTGATTTGCCTTCACCAGATAGAACTTTGTACAACAGAGTTCATCTTTTTCAGCTGTGGGACTTTCTCAAACGTCAAAGTCAGAGTTGTTTGATTGTGTCAACTACACAGCCCCTGACAACTGGTAACCTTGCTGATTAGTGCCTAAATTTCCTACATTTGCTAATTTTTTTTCAAAAACACATTGCAAGCACACGACACGATTGATTACCGTTGCAGTAATTTATTATTTCCATGCTAAATATCGAGTTGATTTGTAGGTAGTGTTTCAACTCTAAATAAGCTTGCATTATTTGTCTTTATTCCAATAATTTCGAGCAATCAATGTGTAGAGTTTAAGCTACAAATTTTCAATCATTGCGTTTCCCCAAACAGGCCCAAATGTGACGGAATTTTCAATTAATTATGCTACTTTAATTCGATACTGCAGTATTTTGGTGATTGCAGTAGTGACTGACAATGAGATCAACGTGACTTGCGGATTTCTACACTACATTTGTTTAATTAAATGGAGACAGTTTTGGTCGAATTAATTGTGTCGTCTCTCTGCCAGGCAGCTCAGCTGCAAGTTCTACAATACAATTTGAACAAGATACAAAAGGTAACTCGGTGAATACGCATTTGTACAGCCTTGAGGTGTTATAGTCCAGGATAAACTGACATATTTCCGTTGGTACCCAAGGCACTGCCCATTAGTCTGCGACTTTAAACCACTTCAGATAGAATTGCATTGTTATTTGACTAAATTTGGCCACAAGGTTGCGGTATCAGGGCTGAGCAATAAGCGCCCCGTAAATTATGCATCAGCACCTCGGAAAGTGGGATAAGGCCTGGTAAGATCGAAAAGCACTTGGCACTGCTCTGTGTGTTAGCTCTTGTCTTGTCATGGTTAGAAAATGTCGAGTCAAATCTTATTAATTTTTAATCACAGACTGGGGAGTAACTCCCACGACAGCCAGCGTGGATTTTGTGTTAAATGTTTGAAATTATATAATTAGGGTTCGTGTGATGTATTGGTGTTGATGCCAAAAAATCACGTTATTTAAGATATATAAACGCGGTTAATCAATGCGCAAAACATTGTTCGTGGTTACTGCTAGTGAAGGGTTTAGAGTGTATCTCAGCCATGGACAGTTTTTGGTTGCATTTGAAAGTAGTTTGAGTTCAGACAGAACTAATAGGCCAATGTGATAGAATATGTGCCAAAATCCACGTGTTGATTTGGTTTTGATTGTACATTTTAGACTAATGGTAAGTTGAGTTTCATTAATTAGTTAAATATATACCACGGTGGCTTCAAACACACGATCCAATACCAGTTAAGAGCCACATTTGTTTAAAATAGCCTGCACTTCGAAAATTATTCATTTCAACGGACGAGGCTCACACTCTTATGGATCATTACTTTATTTAAACAAGTTGGATATGCAAGTAGTTGTACCTGTAACGAAATAGTCAAAGCACAATATAAATGGGGCTCTGCAATTCCTTGGGGATGTGTTGAAAGGGGTGTGAAAAATTCAACTGTGATAAATTTAAAAACTAATACACATCTGACCGAAATTTCCAAAAATACAACAATAGTAACATATTGTTCCATTAGAAAGTGTTTACGATCATTTGCTGTTTATTGGCATTTAACAAAAATAGGAATTTTACGGAAATATTTGACACAAAATAAAGAAATATTAACGGTAAATGGAAAGAATCGGTGAAACCATTCGGGAAGTGATAAAAATGCCCTTTTAAACAAGTAAGCAACGTCATTCCTGCAATGGCTTGAAACGGGAGATTTCAAGTAACTGAAAATTGTTTTTTTTTCTGTTCAAAGACGTTGTACACAATTCCACCGGCAGGAGACAAATAGGTTTAGTCGTAATTAAAATCCCTACCTGTTATAAAGAAGTTAGTAGATAGGGCGGAGACGGGAGACGCTCTACTGCAGCAAGAGTGTAGCCGTTTAGGTTGGCAAGGCGTCAGTATAACTAGGAACTCTTGACATTTAATCCTTGAACGATGGTACCAACGTAAAGTAGGTTCAGGATAATGGAATGAAATCCTAGTTAGATGATCTCTTAATGAGCTTGAATGTGTCAAAATTAGACGTTGTGGTCACCGAAGTCCTACTTTTTTTGCTCACTCGGAGCATTTATTCTGAATGCATCTTGTTAGGTTCAATTTGATTTGTCTGCTCATTGGACAGTTTCTGTAATGTACTTCGTTCTTCTATAGGAAATCGAGTTTCATGAAACAGATGAAAACAGCTTGCTTATTGTATTTTCCATTTACTAAATATATATCTACGTGACACGGCGCCTCCAGGAATACCGTAAGTAAACATGAACAGTGCTTTGATTCAGCATGTTCATAGGAAGATCTTCCAAGCCTGGGAAGACCAATTTTTGTTTGAGCTGTAAAATTGTGAATCTAAGCTACCAAATTAGCTACAATCCCATGAATAAGTTTTTTAATGTTGGTAGTCTCAGGGAACAAGTATTCGTTCTTCTTTACTACTTCATCTGTCAAGCGGATTTCCACCTTGTAAATAAAATAACGCCATAATTGCCCAATCACGCAAAAATGCTTCATCCATCGTGGAACAAATTGGTGGTTATTCTGAGGTCTAATTTCTAGTTATTGCTGGAAATAGCTGGCAATTATTTGGGTGAACTAATAGTTCTCATTCACCTGGCCGTTTTTTCCGTTTCCATCAGCAGATTGTAGATTTCGTTTCGCTGTTAATTCAATTGATATATTGAAGGTTATATAACCATCGCTAAGAAACCTAACGAAACCTACCTTACCAACAACACTTCAAACCATGAAATGAACTATCAGTTATACTAATCAAACAGATTTTTTTGCAAGCTTTCAATGATCTCAATAAACTCCAATGGCAACAGTTGATTGATTCGCCCAGGATGAACTAATTCATTCAATGTTACACCCCCTTGAATCTACTGGTGCAAGGTTGCAAATGCTCAAACTCTTCACAAATAAATAAATTCTTAGGTTACCTAACGTCAATGGCAAATACGCTTCCCAAAGTGTCATTGATGCTTCAGAATAAAGTTAGGGTGAACATTCGGTGTTATTTGGATCAAGATAAAATTGGATGCACAATAAAAGTTTTCATTCACTTAAAAAAGTATCTTGACTTAGGAGATCAAGCTTGTTGTGAATCGCATTGATTTACACTCGCTAATCCGCTTACTCCAGCCTCCGACACAGGATCCCCCTTTTCGCAGCATGCCGCCAGCCGCGCGAATCCTCAACTCCCCTCTCATTAAAGCGAGCTATTGTCCTGGATTATCCTCACACCTAGGTCTCGATGTTAGCGTATGTATGACTCAATTATTTGAGGTATAAATACACACGCGACACAACGACACCAGTTTTGGTTGAGCTCTGAAGTAAACAGTTGTGTCAACGTCCTCCCCGGTCTTTTTCATCATTGCGAATATCAGGGAAGCGTAATCGGGCCAGGGCTAATTCAGTGGCCCCGGCGTGGTTCAAGACCACATGGTGGGGCCCGCAACAAGCTCATGCAATGCTAATAAGAGTTGACTTAATTTCACTCTTGCGATTCCACATTATTCGACATTTTTAACGCTAGTAACTACGTGTGCAATAACTAGCCCCTGCATTGACTTGTAACTGTCACAACCAGATTAGCACATACAATATTCTTTCCTTTTAGAAGTTAGAACACAAGCTGTACAACAGAATTTACCAAAGGCGCAGCGAAAACTAGGTGTTTACTAAAGTGTCCTCACTTTCCTAGAACTTAAGTCCGCAGAACACCTTAATGTAAGCTACTTTGAATTGCTCTCACAAGATGATAAAATGTTTTCCCGAAAAACATGAGTTTTTCAAAACAAAAAAACTGATCTAACGGCTGGATTTAAACAAAAGGTGAATCTTCAGCGACCTTGTGTTTTGAAAGGCAGTAGTGTAGCACAGTGATAATCATGGTTAATTATTCGTGAAATCACTAATTAGGAACACGGAAAGTAGCATATAAGCTAACTTGCCTTAATATCAGTAGCAATGACAAAGGCAATCGGAGCGTTGGGTTGAGTTAGCACTAGGCTATGCACTTGATAAAAGACTCCAGCTAGCTGTACTGGCGAAGTAGCCTCAGTGGCGTCAATCATGACCACCAGTCGGGTCTGTTCGATGTCCTGAAGGTAAAAGTTGAAGGCATGCAGCATGTCACAGATGTTGGCGAACTCCCGCTTCGCCAGAATGTCCACCTCACACGACGAGGTGACGGGAAGTAGGTCAGCTGCTTCGACACTAGGAGAAAGGCAGTCACCGTTCGGCTTGATTGGTTCACCTGCACTGCTGAGCCTCGAGGTGAAAGTGTTGATTAGCTTCGATTTCTTCTGGGCGCCCAAGCAAGTGGAGCCTTCAGTGGCGTACGACTCGATCGCCTTGGTTAGGGGTGTTTTTGGCCGGTAGAAAAAGGCGAATGCTGCGTTGGCGAGGGAAGGAACGGAGGCGCAGACACCAAGGAAGATTATTGAGCTCATTATCACAAATATCGGCAGCACCCGGATGTCCGTGAGCATTTCAATTGCGTTGAAGTTGTAAATACGCAGCAAGAGCAGGTCAACGAGAATGGCCACACCCAGCATAATGACCACCAAGTAGGCAGGGAGGCAGCAAATTCGTTTGTGGGCGCGCTTTGTCGACACTATCGAGAAACGTACATCAACAATCTACACTGCTGTGAATGCGGTGAATTAAAATTACTAACAGAGTAGCTCTTTTGGAGTCGTACAAGGCCCACATTCAGATTGTCAAAGTATACGATCAGAGATCGGTTCTCAATAATTTGTTCTTACGGAACCGAAAAAAGTCATTGAGTAAATTTCCAAGCAATTTTGCCAAGATTTATGTTTAGGAAATCGCCCTCTTTTCCTGGATGGAATGTCTACGCACCTTACACCTACATTAGTGTTTAAAACTTTTACGCTAGACCTGTGTCATGGCCAATCTCATCCAGGTTTGTTTCGTGGGCATCACAGCCTCCGAGAGAAACCCAGTCGCGTGGTTTTGCTCATAAACCGGAATTTTAATTAGGACCGTCCTCAAAGGAAGTGAACAGTCAAATCTGCGCCACCAGGGAGGCAACCAGGCTGATTTGTTTTTGCGGATTGAATTAAAATGTTGATTAATGCACTTTGTTGGTTTGCCGGCCTTGGATTTCACCAAACGCCGACATACCAGTGGCCAAATACACACTAATACGTTTCTTTAAATGGTCGCCACGTTTATAGCCTCATAGTTTTGAAAATCTGAGGTTGATTGAAAAATGTACTTGTTTTATGATGAGATTTCTTGCTAAACTGTAGAAATCTGACTTTAGAGTTCATTTGGAATAAATTTGTTTTGTCGATAACTTTTTAAAGAGTTAAGTCTCCTTTGATTACCATGATCTACCATTACAGTGTTGTAAAGACGATAACAATAATTTTACTCGAAACTGCTTACTCACAAGGATAGGTGCTCTGGTGCATGAATCGTTGTAGCCTGACAACAAAGGGATTGTACTGTTTGTCCATCGCCAGCCACATTCGTTTGAGGAGCATCAAGATGAGATGTGGAGTATTTGGGGATTGAGGAAGACGGTATTGAACGGTCTGAATCCTTAAAACAAATACATTTTCCATTAAATATCTGGGGGTGTATGTGATGCCTAGGCTTTGGTTTAATACTGTATCAACGTCAATTCACTTCAGATGCAATAAAAGCAAATAAAATTAGTTAAAATAACCTCTGAAAGCCTTTCGATTACCTTTGCCTGAACTAAAACGAGAGCTCTGCATCCAAAAGAGCAGAAGTAACAAATAAATTGAAGTGATGGAAACCGCTATTTAAAATAATTTGTCATGAAGTCACCTGTTTTGGTTAGTGTTCCAGGTTATTAGCAACAATGACACAATAGGGCTACTTATTTAGTCAAAACAGGTAGAGTTGAGTTGCAGAAATACGTAGAAATATGCTAGTTATTTCCTATTAATAAAAAATGTTGGGCACTAAGTTGTCACATCAGGTGACCACCGACCATATAGTGCTCGCTCCGAGAACTTAGTTGCTGGCGAATATAAATGGGGAATAGAAAAAGGAATAAATTCGTAAAATTTCCGCATTTCTAAGATATTTCCAAAGAACTGACTTGTAATTTAGTTCTGATTAGTGCGTTGTGTAAAGCCATCATCATCACATACTTCGTTGATCACTTTGACAGCCTCCTAAGCTTCTTTTCATTCAATCAAATAAAAAGGGGAGCGTGATAATTACGTTTGATTGCAATCACCATGTTAAAAATAACAGAGCAAAAAAGCTTGCAACAGCTGCCTTTGCGTTTGTTAAATTGGTGATTATCTCTGTCAATGGGTATTCAATTGATGGGAATTGTTTGAGAAAACAAAGCACTATCCAAACCCACTTTTTTTCTATAATATGGAATTGACAGGTGGTAATTAGGGAAACATTTTCTAGCTTTGAGTTTGGTCCAACCTACCTTGCACTCACAGTTACTGAGTAACTCACATCAAATGTAAGACAAGTCAAGCCCTAGAAACGTGGCCTACTAATTTTGGGTCGATTTCCTCCTTACAAATCAGGCTACCTAACGACAGCTCTTAGTTTCGAGGGTAACAATGATTTTTTTTATTCTGGAATTGATTTCCCCGACTATGGCTGTGTGTGTGTGTGTGGCATTGCCAACTTCGAAAGGTCTGTCTAGTGCCTGCGCGTTCCGTCAGAGATGTACTACGATAAAATCTTTATTTGTACAGCCAAAATACACCAGTGATAACTTAATGCAGATTTGCAAGCTTTTGAGGCAGCCTAATAGGTAGCTCATCTTCCAATGTTCTTTTCTGAACACATCGAATCAAATTAATCAGGGTAATGTCTACTCAGACGGTTTAGTTGAATGCTTGCCGCCCGGTACGGGTGTCCGGAGTCAAATACGGACGGCCGGATCCACATTTTACAGTGTAAATGCACAGTGTTGCGAATTAAGTATCCCCAAGACTTCATCTTTCGAAATATTCACAATCTTCTACTTTTTCATTATCACTCATGCATCTACAAGTACAAGTGCTAACAAAGGGGTCCAATCGTGTACACTCGGGCTTTGTAGAAGTTCAATCCTATTGATTACACCGTCGTCGTAAATACTAATTTGACCCAATAAATTTAAGTAAGTCGCAAGTCACTTTATAAAACGGCTTCTTGGCAAAATTTCAGTCTGTGAAAACGGATTTTAGCCTAGCTATTGTGCTGACATTCGCAAAATTCAACCGTTGTTGATTCAATCAACGTGTCAAAAACTTTTCTCCCGAACCATTATTCGGGTCTCAGAAATTCCTGCATTGCACACAACTGCCTTGATGCTTTGTATTTACGACCGAAACGATAAATCCACGATAAGCTTGTAAATTCTGGCCTTGAGTAAAGAAACTGCGCCACAAATGGAACGGTATAAAAAGAGTTTTGTGAAGTCAAGCGTACTCGACTATTGAAAAAAATTACACTAATCCAACGGTTTCAGTTCCTTTACCGTGATTAAGCAAAGTACGGCAAAATGTGTCCAATCAGCGCGGCGTTTCGTATAGCAAACTAAGGTAAACCTGTGCCCAAACACAGTCTGTCCTTGAAATGAGCAATAGGTAATACCTTGTTATTTTCTTTTAAGCCGGCTGGACTGTCAACCGACCGCTCTAAACACGGACAAAAGTTTCACCCAAATAACAGAGATAAAGCAGATTAGGTGTAAAAAATTACCCTGTCCCATGGTGTATAAGACTTCACGATTTCCAAATTTATGCCAAAGAAGTAGCCAATCATATTATTACGCTGTTATTTTAGTTTTAATTAGAAGTGAAAAATACGCCTAACTGATTGGTCCTGGGTTCTCTTGGTACAGCTAGCTCGAAAATGTAGAAACGATTCTCTGTCCTACCAGGTTGAGGATTAGTCGTCCGAACCTGACGTGAAATTGCAGCTACAATGGCACTGAATTGAAGTAAATGCTTCAGATTCTAGACTAAATGTAGCCAGCTCGGCTACCAAGTTTGAATTTAAATGTGTACACTGTCGTGAAACTGAAAATTTTTCCCCTTTGTCATCTGCTTTATTTCGTCTGGCTTATTTCAGTTTGGTCTCAGTGGACTATGTTCTCAGCTGACATCGTTTGAATGAGCACCCCGCGAATGGTTTGATGAGAAAATGCCTGATTTTAAGCAAAAGGAGACAATGTGAAGTAGTTCTTAGATGTTAAATCTGTGTAGCATGCAATAGCCCAGTTATGTTGCTTGTAATAACAAGAAAACGAAGGTGCATCCCTTCTGATGACAATGAAAGCACTTTAAGTTTCGAGATAAGAGCATCGTTGCTCCCTTCTGCTGCCACTTTCTACTGTTCCTCATTTAATAACCAAAACGCTTCGAATCTGTCAGTAAAGGCCCCTTGCTTTTTGACGAGTTGACCTGGCTTTCACTCTCGTCCGTCTAGCATTTTGGACTCAATCTGTTAATTTTACATGGAAATTTGCAAAGTCGCTCGAGTCGTTTTTCAAATCAGCGAATTTTTTGAAGGAACTGAATGTCAATTTATAACTTCCAGATTTCTGAAATTCTCTTTTGTGTTTATTTCCTATGCTCGATTCTGCCTTTCTGATACTAGGTACCATCCATTTGAGCATTTTTACTAGTCTTGTGACTCGGACTTCACGATTCAAGCACAGTCTACAATTTAAGGCATAATTCCCATCATGCAGCATCAAATTCTGCTTACATACAGGTATAATTTAGGCAAATATTCGCACAATGCACCAGTAAAGTATAGAGAGTGCTGTGTGGTGGAGGGAAACCGTGGCAATCAAGGCACTTAATCGTGCATTTTAGCAGGGATTTCGTATCACGGAAAGGTGGATTACTTGGGCACCGATTACGGTGGTAAACTGGACCTTGAAAGGCTGAGTGGTTGGTTAATAAGTTTGAGCACGTAACCACTGTCAAACAATGCTGATGGATACTTGCTCGCATTTAGAATTAACTCCACCACTTGTGGTTAAAAGTCCTTATACACGTTGCAAGCACACTTTGGTCAATTACGAAATTCTATAACCACCGATAAATTAGAACTTTATCACAAACTAGTTCGCCAATAAAAATGACCTGTAGTTACAAACATGAAGTCCACGACGCAATTGGGCAGGTCCGATCTTACGTCTAAACTGATGAAGGCTATTTTGGTGTGATGGGCATGCAACTGCTGCTTATTGTCCATTCATTCTGCTTCGTGAACAAAGGTAATGTTCTATAGGTACTGTCTTTTAAACAAATGTGTTGCAAAGTTCTTTAAAGCGAAATGAAGAGATCCGAGTAAAGTCATACAAAGCTTGATATTAACTCACTTCACCGGGCTCGTAGAAGTGGGTCTCCGTCGGGGATAGTAGAAGAGGAATTTTGTGATAAGATTAACTTGACGTACGAAGGAAGACAGGAGAAAGCTGGCGTTCCACGCGATGCTCACATTGAAGCACTGCTTTCCGATTGCGATACCCGCTAAAAAGTATTAGTTTACGATTATTCTCCCCAGTTCACAACGTCAGAATTCCGACTTGAAGTCTAAACTAGTTCAATAAAATCACAAGTCGCCCCAATCCGCTGTTAGTTTAAACACATACACAATTTAATCTTACAAAGAAGATAGATTAAATCCTTCACCTACATCCACATCGTCCGAAATGCGTCAAACCACTGAAGCATTCTTCTTCTATGCCTAGCCTTCTCCTTATCTTCTCTCCGACTTGTACCAGAACCTAAGCGAATATTTTAACTTTTGCCTGATCAGCACCACTAGCAGAAAACCCATGGAACCTAAAAATACGTGTGTACTTCAGTAGTTTTTTGTTGTTTATTTCTATTTGTTGGGGATCCACGATTCCCCAAGATTGGTTTCTGATTTTATTTACATTAATTTATTAACACTTGTTTTGTTACGCTTTTATCAAGTCAAGGTCAACCTTGACTTGAGATAGCTTTCAAATTACTTTCGATTTCACCTCTTCTCTGCACGTGGCTCACGTGAATAAAGCTCTCTACTCGAGCTCTGTTCCTGTTCTGGTATTAGCCTGGGAAGGTCAGCTCTAGCTTTCAGCAAGGGATCTGGTACCGTTATTTGAGTGGTCTTCTCTATTGTTACGGGCAAACGTAACACTATTGCTTACAAGTAAAAGCAAAACCAGGTAGTCACCATTACTATGGTAGATATTATCTTTACTTCCTTTTCTGACAAATAAATCCTTTTTATCGACATGAATTTAATTATACTGTAAACAAAAGAATTCTAGAATCAGCTAGTGCAGTTTGTGTACATCGGTCGCTGGATTAGCCTGGACGCATAAATTATTTTGTCTACCAAGGTGTAGAAATTGTTTTGCTGTAATTGGAATGGGGGTGGTAGCTAATAAAATAGAGTAAATGCGATGCATTGTTAACGTCTGCGAGCAATTCCCCCTTTTAGTCCAACTTAATGGATTTTGTGAGTTCCGCCTACTCATATCTTATATTAATTATTTTTATGCATTTTCGCAGTTCCAGGCGGAAAGCGAAGGAGGCCATTAAACTGATTAACTTAAACGACCACATTAACTAAGTTGTAATGTGGGTCTTAATGGCAACGCCACTAACGGCATTTCGTAATGATACTTTATGCCGAAGTCTTGAGAGCGTTGGGAAAAGCCATCTAGAAATGTTTCATTGTGGGAAAGCAAAGCCTATGAGTATAACTCAATACTGGAACGATCAGATGGCCGGTGGAACATGCAACGTTTACCAAATTCACTGACTCTCCAGGTTCTGAAGATTACTTAGTCTAAAAATTCTCAAAATCTGGGCAGATTCTCCACCGCAAAATACAAATATAATCGAGGTATTTCCATTGTAATTGCATAACTTAGAAGTTTGAACAACTTTGAAAGTTCTATGCAAAGTTTAATTTGTTATTCAGAGGTAACTTCACCAACGATAATTCTGTGTCAAAATGCTTAAATAAAGACTGCGGTGCCTACTATTTGCTTTCGCTTAATGGTATGGGAATATACGCCATTATTTAGCTGCTTGTGCATCCAACGAAGTGTATTGTTTCTTTGTTCTAGGCTATTAACGCACGTTTTGTCATTCATTGTTTACTGCACAAATCACAATCTCACACAGTCATCGGCCTTTCTCAAACAGTCAGCTTCAGTGTTCGCTAATGGCTTTTACGTTTTTCCTGTGAAAAAGGAAAACGCTTATCAGCTTTCACGTGCAAATTATCTGCATCGCTGTGCCCAAGTGCATGCGCAATATGTAGAAATGAGAAAACAGAGCCTGAATTTGCATTAAAGAAAATAGCTAAGCAATGTTTTGGTTCAGATTCATCATTTACTTTCGATTTTTAAACACACTGACCACTAATAATTGTGCATTTATGGTAATGTCAGGCAACATTCACCGATTCTGCAACTTTGTTGATTTGGAAAATGTATTTCCTCACTCGGTTAGCATTGTGGCGTTCCCAGTTCTCCCACTCACCTTGTGGACATCCCTTTCACTTCCTAATTATCACAAATGACCTACAGAATACCTGAAAAATGTTTGTCCATATTTTTAATGTTGGATTATTGACTGGTGAGGTTTAGCGGGTGTTGGCTAATTTGCTAGTCCCATATCTCACAGAGGCACGTTCTCACCATTAGCTGTCGCATCCAAGTTGTCTACTTATAGCCGTCTAGTCTTCGCATTATTTCCCGGTGTAAAACTAAGCGACACTTTGTTGGAAAGAGCACAATCCTGGTTTAGCTTAGATTCATTCCATTTGCAGCAGATTCGTGCTCTATCTTTATGATTTGGTTAAGGCCATGTCACTAAGATATAACCCTTAGCACCTTATTGGTGAGTGTCAATCATGACTTGATTTTATCATTAGGTTTAACTAAGACTTCTACTAACTTGTTTAACATCGAAAAACATTCATTTATTCGCTTGAAGAATTCCTGCTCTTTGGATATTTTTAGTCTTTGCTTGATCTGCGCAGATAGTGTGGTAAAATTTCTTGAAAATCATCAAATGGGGTTCGCAAGTGTATTTCAAGAATAATGTTATATAGATTTTCTAAAAAATTTGTTTGTCAAGTGTGACCAATATCTCGCCGAGAAGCCTAGTCTTTGGCTATAATGCAATTTTAGCAAAAAATGAATCTTCACAATTGTCCGGAGTAATTTATTTATGCAACTGTGACAATCTCATCTATTTGGTTGACAGCAAACGCCACATAGGCTTCTTCGCAATTTCCGCATTACATGGTTCATTCGCTCACCGCAGGTAGTGCGGGTGTATGGAAATTAATGACTTCCCAGCTAACGAGGCAGATTGAGATAAAGTGCGATTAATTTCCATTTGCGAATAATGAAAGTGAAAAAAAAGTTGACCACGAGAAAAAGGGGAATTTTTTTTCCAAACCGACTACTGCCCGAAGTTTGACACTTCAGGCAGTAAGATACCCTCAGACAAAGGAAAAAAATGGCATCCGAATAAGTTAAAATCCACTTTAATATAAAGCCTATGAGTTTTCTTTATTTAAGTGGGTTTTTTAAAACCAAGCCTCAAAATACTTAAATTTCGCCGCATATGTCAGACCCAGCATCCCACAAGTTGTGGAAATACTTTTTTGAGAACTGATTGGCTACTTATTTTGCAATTTTGTACTAATTGGAAGGAGATAAACTCAGGCTAATACGCTTTCAGAAAATGTTATCTACTTTCTGCAAACCAAATAATTGTATTTCCCACGAAGATTGTTTTGTTATCTTGATGCCTTAAATCAGGGTTCATTGATTCGGTGGTTTGAAAACACAAGAAAAAAACTTTAGGACTAAGTTTTGAAAGCGTAAATCCCCTAAACACCCACAGCATGTAATGCGTTGTGGTCTGAATAAAGTTTTTATTAAACACCCAATTCTATAAATAGCTTTAGTACCGTGTGACCACATATTTTTCTTTCCCTCTCTAATGACTACAGTTTTGTTTCGTTACTACTAAAACCATTTTCACAAATCAAGAACGTACACACAGTAAACCCTTATGAAAAATTAACTCTATGGCTTTCGGAACCGACTTTCCACCTAGTATTTTCCTGCATTGCTTTCACGTAGCTGATTTGGTGAAAGTTACTTTTTGCTCATTTGAAATGATCCTAGTTAAGGTTTCAAGGTTCGCCTCTTCAGGAAATGTTTCAAAAAAATCCAGATTCTCTCCATAAAAATATTCACTATTTGAGACTGTGGAAAAATCCCTTAGTGTGTGATGTGCGGCATATGTCAGATTGTCTTTCAGAGGCAACCAATGATTGACGCCAGCTCCTTGGTTAACTTTACAAATTTTGTGATAGGTTAGCCCAATCAGTGTCATCAGTGGCTTCTCGGGTAAGATTTGCCCCCCTAAAGCAATCAGTTGATAGCCTGCCAAGTCAATAACAATCTTGGCTGCCGCTTACCAAGTACGAGGAACTGAATAAATAGGCCCAGGAAGCCCAGTGAAAGACCGACTTCGTATTTCGTTGTGATGGCCAGCACAAAGGCTGCTGCGAAGATGGCCATCGCAGGAACGAAAATCAAAGCAGCGCTGAATGTGGAAAGTGCCTTTGTTTTGAGGCGAATCAGTATTTGGATTTCGTCTGCAATAAAAACATGGAGTATTTATAGTTTCCCTGAAACCATGGCGATTTCCATGGTTCGACGGCAGACCAAAATTACTGACAGTTTCATTGAGGACACCTAGATTCGCCCACCAGAAACTCTCAGTTTTGTTTGCTCTCTAGCACTCCGGTTGATGCCTATCATTTACCGCCTGCCTTTGACAGATTGATGGTCTAGTGGTTTGTTGTGGTTGCCCGAAGTGACATTCAAGATCTTATTTTGGCTTGGCAGGTCTTCAATAGCGTTGGATAGGGTTTGTGGGTTATTTAGATGCTCGCTCAAGCAGTAGATTGCGGTCTGTTAATAGTCGTTTTATAGGCGTATTTTTACCAAGGAAAATAAGTGGTCTGTGCGTGCGTTGGCTGGCTGAACCAGTCGGATAAATTCATGTTGAGTGCCTTTGTGATTCACGTTGAAGACTAAAGTACACAGAATGACCTTTGGTGTGGGTTCAATCGGACAAGCGCTAAAACACGAGGCCTAATTGAAGCACACACCTCAATGGGCGATGGTTGCAGGTGTTTGATAAATCGAATGCACGTTTAACGCCAGCCACAGGAAAAATTGCTGTGCGGTTTGAATGCTAGCAAACCACTCCTTGAGTTATGTTGACCGATTCCCATGGAGACCTCAGACTTCTTCGCCACTACTTATTTTGTGATTCTGACTGACCACCTTGTAGATCGACATTATCTGGCAATGAAGAGAGTTGCTTGCCGTTTTCGCTCACTTCATGAATAACTTAAACTTTGGACTGTTCTAGAACGCAACTCTTTTCCTGATTGCTGTGAAATCAACGTAACACATTCGGACTCTTTTCGATTCAAAAATTCGACTCAGGTTGGTGAGCAATTATCCAATAGATGTCACATCATTTATGCACGTTTGCTGCCAAGCCCTATGGACGCAAGAAATCTCATTAAAAACGACGCATTAAGTCTATTTTGCTGTTGTATGTCCGAAAATCAGAGCAATTTTAAATGCTTTTTTATAAATGAAAGAGAGATTCAACTGAAGCACGGAGTGACGAGGAGAACATCTTACCCTGGAGTTGGAGGAGGGCTGTATTTAGGGGATTTGCAACAGCCGAGGCGTTGGATGCGTCGTAGAACAGACCGATGCTCATCGGAAAACTGGTCGCCGGACAAACAATCAGATCCGCCAACGCGCGAATCGCCTTGCTCTGCTGGCTGCTGTCTGATGGCTGGTTAGCGCCGCTGGTACCATCGGCCAACGTTGAGCCTTTCAATATACATTTAAAAAATGATGTAGTTTTGGCCTTACAAAGTGCTTTCTATTCCTGAGTCCGGATCTACAAATCTCCTTCTTTTACCTCATAGCATTGGACTGCAACGAAGGCCAAGTTACATTAACTATGTCAATTAAACGTGTCTCATTTGCCAAATTCCTTGTGTCTCACATTATCTGGTTGCACTGATTTTTTTTCAAGTTTTAAAAACAACTGCGATTGAATAAGTGGTTAATTTTAAATATTTGAACTTATTAGTTTTTAGGCATCATAAGCTAAACGATATACCAATTAGTGGACATGAATGATTACTCAAAAATGATCGAGATGCCATGTTTCACCAGAGCTGATTCACACTAAAGTTCGAAAGCATTTGATGTCAACAATTTCCGAAAATGAGGTAGCAAGGAAATTTGACTTGGAAGTGTTGACACAAAAATTTTTTATTCATCTATAAGGTAAGTCACGTAGTGAACACGGAGGTCAAGCAAGTGGGTCGACTGGCCACAAATTCAATTGATTAATTTAGATCTGAACTCGGGTTACCATTCCCAACATGTGCCTGTTGGCAGCGCAGTCGAACATCATGCTCTGACTCATAACCCTACTACAAAGCAGTCTACTTGGATGGTATTTACTGCCTCTGCTATCTTGAGTTTTGGAGGAATAGTTAACTACGAGAGGCTCTTCATTTTCATATCTTTTCTAGAATCTCACAATCTTCCGGTTTCAAACTCCCAACTGACCAATCACCTCGCCCCATCCAGCCCCTGGTTAACTTTTACTGCGCTCAAATGGAAGAAAATTTGGTATTTTTACAATCTGCTTGTTATAATCATCTTAAAATAGCACCCACTGGTTGGTGACTGTAAATATGAAGGGAATACTATTCGAGTGAACATCTGTTGTGAATCGTGGGATCCAGGACTATTTATCTCCCTGACTTTGCACCTGATTGTGTCTATGTGGTGGTCCGCTAATACACCAACTGACTCAATTGCTCAGTTACTCGAGCCAGCGACCAAGAAATATTCATGAATAAATACAATCGACGACATGGTGTTAGGCAGTCCATTAGAAGGTTGATAATTCTGAGCTCCCAACTGTAGTTTTCGAGATATCCACGCAGAGTCTAACAGTTATTTTGTGGCTTTGATTTAGGCTCAAGTCCCATGCCCGGGTTATTGGCACCTTCTTTTAACTTGCAGCTGCACTTGTATTCCCTGAAATGATAGCCTTGTCGAGTGGGAGCACGTAAGGATGTTAACTGGAGGAAAATTAGGCTCACTCTTCGGAATTCTTATCAAGCGGTAGAAAACTATCATCAAACATCAACCCACAGGTTTTATAGCGTATACTTAGATAGATTGCAGCTCACGAAATGTGTGTTTAAAATTTCCAAAGGAATCCATTAGTTGCAGGGGAAACTCTGGCCAATCACTGGACAGAATTTTTCTCATTAGATTTCGGGGTGTGTCTATTAATAAGAGCTTTGTCACATCGCTCTTCGTAATTAATCTAGAAGGGGAATAATGGGGGATTCACTTGGAGATCTGTACGTCAATGAGGGACACATTTGAAACATGTCAGACTGGTATAAGTCGGACTGATGGGCATTCACGTTTGCCTGCTTCTCCTCGTCGAAAAATACCTTTAACAATGCGATAATGCTGTTACAATAATAGGCCTTGGTTGATTTAAAAATTGACCTGCCAGTGTCATAACTAGATGCTGATCTATGCAGAGGACGAACAATGAACAACAGATGGGTTTTGGGGGGTTGTGCTCTGGGTGCAGGTTTCATTGCCTGTGAGAAACGGACTTCGGTAAAACACAAAAATAAGAAGCGTCGTGCTGAAGAGGGTTACGGAAGTGGAACTGCCTCCAGTCAGACACAGACAGCAGCGTGTGAACACATGAAAGCTGTGTCTGTGAAAGCACGCACGAATTCCACCAAACTGTTACTTCTAGGGCTTTTTTGGTAGTTGAAAATGCTGGCATAAAGCCAGACGCTGGATGCAGTGCCATCGGGTTTGTGGGAGACTAGGGGATTTTATTTAGTTCAGTCAAGAATCTAGCCGTTTAAATTAATTGAATCACTGCATGGTTTTGTCAGATCAATGATGACTCGTCCTTTTTTGACTAAAATGAGGCAACCTGCTCTTAACTCCAACTCTCTCGCATTTAACATAATTGGATCGGTGATTTGTTAGACACTTTATGGTAAACGATGCGCCTGTGCCGAAACTGAGCATTTCTGTTGGGTATTCTTTGTTTAAAGACGACTTAATCCCTTCCTACAGATGCCATTTTAAAGTCTGAAGTCACCCAACTCACAACCATATCTCCTACTTCTAAATTTCAGAAAGTTGTTCTTACTTAGTACTGATATATGAATATTACCACTAATAATATTTTGTGTGCTCCACCGGCTGTTCTAAAATCACAAACAGTTGATACACAATTGCTGTTGGATGGCTTTTTTCGTGTTGGTAAAAATGGCTTTTGGTATTGCCTCCACAACCTCAACACCCTAAAAATTCGACTCACGAAAAGTAAATGAGTGAATTTGCTAATTTCACAGCATCCAGTAGTAAAAAAGAGTGACTTCTAGGCAGAATTTAACAACATCAGGGCGGCAAAAACTGTACAACATGCGCGGTGTCTTTATTGCCAGAGATTTGCCTTCGCAAATCTCTTGTGCTAAAAACCGAAGAAGGTACTGTGTATTGTCTTGGTCGCTATGACAACCAGGCAAAGCAGGCTTATGGTTTCGTGGTGGTAGCAGTAAACCGCTAGACTACTCACACCACCTTTCACAGCCTGAAGTTTAAAAAAACCGCCGCACAACAGAAGATAGCTTTCAAAGTGTGGCTGGCATGGCTCTTTTTGTACCACATTCCTGGACTATTTAATAAATAGAGGACTGATTTCTTTTGTTGGTGTCTATGTATGGACTTAGATTTAAAAAAAACGCTTCTTGATTATGTCTTGTTAAAGTGGAGACAATTTTTGTCTACTTCCCTGGTAAATTACATGCCTTTGTTTGTATAAGCAGAATTCTAGTAATTTTTTTAAGATTTGACCTTCTGCTTTTGGAGAGATCTTTTCGTGTTGAACGCGCTAGTTCGTGGTTAGCCTTTTTATAAAACGCAGTATGGAATAAGCCTTCACGTAGGTTTAACAATTAGAAGGACAAGAGAGCTGCCATGAATGCCTGTGGGTCTTTAATTATTTAACTAACAACCTCGATGAAATCCAAAATGAACTCGTAAACGACTGGTCTAATTTT